GGAAAATTGAGATATTGTTATGAGATCAACTCGGAAACGAAACCACGAGAGTACACAGTGCGTACAAAAAAAGTTAAGGCGACGTATATGTAATCACAGTATGAACCTGTTGAGTTGAGATTTAATTAAATCTAATAAAGAAATGAATTGAAGACCTATATTCACTCAATAATGATTTAATTGATTATAATGAATAATGTACATGGATCCGGCTCGAAGGACCAATGTTTACGAATGAGTACTTGGTATGGTTTACCGCCAGCAATGGAAAGACTAATCGAGCTCACCTGGAATCTGTCTGACGACCGGCATCAACAAAACCTCCAGCAAGGGCTCTGTCCAAAGGGCTGCTTCACCACCAGTACTAAGGGGGGTTGAGTGGACTGTATTTTGGGGGAAAGTTCACACTATCGCGTATAGCCTTAGCGTTTTGTTTTGGGCGCGAGATTTTCGGTTTTTTTGAAATCGAGTCCGTTCTCTCGCGGTGCCGTATGAGTTTCTGCCGTATTCCCCCGTTTTCTCGATGGCGTCGATTGCTTCCAAAGCTGGACGGATATACATTCGAAGCCAAAAGTTAGGGTCCGGATTATATTGGATATTATTGAGTGAATTTGTCTTCATAGGTTTAGAGAATCTTATTGTACGAATTATTATGTCTAATTATATTTATACTAAAAACTAAACTAAACGTAAATATTCTGGGGTTTTAACATCTACCATACTTCGAACATGCAAGATGTTCTTTGAAACTTATTTGAATGGGTCTTCTAGTTTCATCTACGTATGTTTTTCTTTGAATCGGCACAAATTATTTCGTAAAATCCTGATTGATCAAGTGTATCTTTCATCAAAGACAGATTCCATTCTGGAATAGGTGGCATATAATTTTATATACAGTGTGTCTCACTTCTAATGGAAACACCACTGTATCTTACGTAATCGTTGGGCAAGGATCCTGAAATTTGCTGGAGTGGGAGATATACCAAAAATGCACTCTATGACCAAGTGGGGTTATCTTCAGTGATTTACACTGCTCGCCAATAGCTGCATGGAACCACCCAAATTTCCGGAAAATGCTATTAGGAGTCAAAATAAGTTGAAAATAACTTCGGATTCGGAATCAGGACGCCCAATTCACTAACTATTCGTATTTTTCCTGCAACATTTTCAGTTCAGAAAAACTCATTTTTGTCTCCCTTCTCATGGAAACAACCCCATATCTTACGTAATCCTTAGTGGCTAGTTCCGTAATAAACTTCAAGGGAAAATTGATCTACTAACCGACTGTAAGTATAGGATCATTCTGGTTCATGGAATCTCATCCCTTTATTGTATGTTCAATTATTTTGTGATGTAGGTATATCAGTAAGCAAAACGATTTTGATCTGATAAGAGAACATAAAAGGTATATGCCTCGACTTACCAAAATCGGAGGTATACAGGAGGTTGACAGGATCTGAAGGAAATACAGTCCTCTTGCATAACTGGAGAATCGTGACAGTTCTAGACCAGTACTATGTAGACGTGAAAAGTAAAATTCTGCCTGTTAACTTCGTGGCCGGCCGTACAGATCTGACTATAAACCGGTCACTTTTTTCTTGGTATTTTTTGTCGGATCAAATCCAGCGTCCAATGGAAACAAAAGAGGAATATATAGATATAGGAATTGTCATGAAAAGAAAAAGGATGAAGAAAATAAATGTTAAGGCATAAATGCGCGAATTTTTAAATATGAATGTTTTTAGACAATAATAAGGCAACTCTTATTAGAAAGGTGCAATTAATGATCCCTAATTAATTACTTCAATTAGAAGTTAGATTAACTTCACTAGTAAAAAATAATAAAAAAAGATTCCAATACAGAAAAAATATTAAATTTCGTTTTCCCAAAACAACGAAGAAAATATACAAAAAAAAAAGAAAATAGATACATTAAGTGAAGACGGAGCATTCCCGCCCCCCTGAAACTACCCAGCAAGGTAGTTTCTGAACTAGGCAATAGGAAGAGGGCATAATTTGACCAAAGGGCGTTTGAGTAAACTTTTGATGGTTCTTACAGTTGCTACACGAGCAGTATGATCCACGCCAGGATGTAACTCCACTATTCGCCCTAATGTCCAGTTCAAAGGGGTTGAAGGCGAATCTTCTTTAATTAAGAACATTGTGTCTACAGCGACTGGAGTGTCACTGTAATTCCATTTCGCACGTTGCTGTAGTGTGTGTGAATATTCCCTGTGCCACCTCCGCCAGAAATCAGTATGCAATTTCTGTAACGACTGCCACCTCGCAAGTCGATTCAATTCAAATTCGCTTACATCAGGATCTGGGATAGCAGTCAGAGGGTCCAAAGTAAGGAAATGTCCTGAAGTTAATGCAGTTAAATCGTTTGGATCCTTACTAAAGGGAACGAGGGGCCGAGAATTTAACACAGCTTCCACTTGCGTTATAACAGTGGAAAGCTCTTCGAAGGTGAGTATCTGTTCATCTTTCATACGTAGCAAATGGGATATTGCACTTTTGATATTACTCTCCCACAATCCACCCATGTGTGGGGCCGAAGGTGGGTTAAAATGCCAGCGTATAGATTCGTGGGATGCTACCTCAGAAAAAAATTGATTTAGGTACTTTGAAGCTGCCATAAAATTAGTCCCATTATCTGAGTAAACACTTTGAACCCTACCTCGCCTAGCCATAAAGCGGGGAAATGCGGCTAAAAACGCTTCAGCAGATAAATCAGAAATGAGCTCCAAATGCACAGCTTTGGTACAGCCGCAAATGAACAAGCATACATAAGCTTTCAGACGTTTACTTCCGCGAACTCTATTCATAGTAATGGTAAAACTTCCGGTAAGATCAACTCCAACATTTTGAAATGCTTTAGCTTGTGAAACGCGAAATTTTGGCATAGATCCCATCGGAGGTTGAAATGTAGTGGGATGCGTGCGCCAATAAGTAGTGCACCGAGAAATTATTTTTCGAATGATTTTTTTAGCAGCAAAAACCCAAAAATTTTGAAAAAGCAAAAATAGAGTAGTGTTCACTTCAGAATGTAAATTTTTCACATGTATTTCCGTAATAAGCATCTCGGTGAAATTGCATTTACTTGGCAAAAGGATAGGGTATTTTTTGTCGTAATCGAGTTCAGAATTACACAATCGACCACCAACTCGTAAAACAGTGATTTTGTCTAAGAAAGGGTTGAGTTTTCTGAATGACTTAGGTAATTGTTTCTTACTTTGCAACGCAGATATTTCATTTTCAAAATATTTAGTTTGAACATGTTTCACTAAAATACTCTGAGCATTTTGTAATTCGGAAAATACCAATGCTGTAGTGATTTTTTCCTTATTAATCAGTTTTCGAGCTCTCAGGCTATGGATGAATCGTAACATATAAGCCAGAACTCTTTTTATTTTTGTGTAATTAGAAAATTTACCAAGAAGCATATTCAAGCAGGAATTCTCAATAAAAGTAGAAAGATTTATGCTTCTTTCCTCCTCCAGGGCTTATGGAGGATGTTGCACTTTAATTTTAACAAACTCCCAAGTTTCATGAGGGAATAAAGATAGGATAGATGTGTGTGTGATCACACCACTCTTGGATATTACATACCAAGGGCAAAGAAATTAGCAATACCTATAGTTAGCCTAATCAATCCTAAAAGATAAATATCATAAGTCCTTTTATACATATATACCGAAAAATACCGCACAGTGCGTATAGGACAACACAAACATAAGGCTCAACCCGAAGATAATGGTGGAGGAATGATATTAACTTCTTCCAATCCAGAGTATACATGAATTGTATGATTATGTAATGCCGCTATGCGGTACTTAGCCTCATCCGTGTAGTTCCGTAGTGTAGACTTCGGAAGTTGCGAATTTGAGAGGAACAAGATCACTTCAGTTGCCCCTCCTTAGATTTTTCTAGGCCCTTCCGTTCACTCTTGAATCTGGTTATTATAATAGTCACCCATCAAAACGCCTAAAGGAAGAAATACCTCGTTGACCAGAAATACGTAACAAAAGTACCGAGAATAAAGATCACATGAACTCATAATAGGTACTTTAAAATTCTGATTGTGTGAATAAGTTGTGAAACGCACCTTCGATTATCAGGACACGAAATAATCCGAAAACGTTTGTTTTTCTCGGCAAAAACAATACAACTGATACTACAATCCTCGTGAGAGAGATTTGACGGTAGTTAACAACACCCACAACTATATTGCCTAATAGCCACCGTCAAAAGAACTGATGAATCAAATCCGCCGGTTACAAAAAATCTTATTTTGAATAATTCAATTCAGTCCACTGTACCATCACGTCTGTTACAAATCAGAATTGCTGATAGTCAAGTACATAAAATATTCCGTTAAACAAAAAGAAGACAAAAAAGTACTTCCATATTTCCTCGCTAGAGGCAGCAGCTCTCGGGTACTGATTTGAGAATTGATCGTTAAATGGGTTGCCTATAGCAAACATGATCAATAAATGTATAATTTCTCGCGAAACCGTAACAAATGTTCTAGACCCTTTCAAAATATCCGAGAAAGTATCAAAATATTCTGAAATGTTTCAGAATGTTGAATGGTCTTCCAGAAATATCATTATAAAGTTCTAGAATCTATTAAAATATTTCAGAATGCTCCAGAATGTTCTAGAATGTTTCAGAATGTTCTAAAACGTTCCAGAATAACCAAGAGAGCTGTAGAATATTGTAAAATGTTTCAAAATGTTTGACATTGATCTGAATCTAAAATGCTTCAGCGTCTCCAGAAAGGTTCAGAATCTTTATAGCATATCCCGGAACGTTTACGAACGCTCTAGAATGTTCTAAAATGTTCCAGAATAACCGTAAGAGCTGTAGAATATTCTAAAATGTTTCAAAATGTTCGAGAATGATTTGAGAGTTCTAAAATGCTACAAGGTCTCCAAAAATGTTCGGAATCGTTCTAGCATATCCCGAAACACTAGAATGTTCGTATAACCTTCCAGACTGGTGGAAGAATCCATCCGCAAGGACCAACAGCCCAAGGACAAACCATCCAACGAGCCGCAAGTCGACGACGTCTGCACCGACGACGACAACGACGAGGTCGAGTACGAGGCGTGGAAGCTGCGCGAGTTGCGGCGCGTGAAGCGCGACAGAGAGGAACGCGAAGCTGTGGAGAAGGAGAAGATGGAGATGGAGAGGCTGCGCACGATGACGGAGGAGGAGAGGCGGGCGCAGCTGCGGCTGATGCCGAAGACGGTGATCAATAAGGCGGTGAAGGGGAAGTACAAGTTCTTGCAGAAGTACTATCACAGAGGTATGTTTATCTCAATGGTATTCAAAATCCACTATCAATTCATACGAATTATCTAGAAGTTATCTATTATCCCTCAATTTATTCTAAAATTCAATATTTGATATCTGTTTGGGGTACTGCTAGTTTATCAATTATAAAGCCACTTAGAATCCTTCAGAATAAAGTTGTCAAATGTATATATAAATTGGATTATTTGGAACCAACAAGAGATCTTTATAATCTATATCTTACAATGGATTATTACTTCACAATGAATTACCAGCAAGACTTGAAAAAAATAACAGTACCAAAAAATTCAAGAAAGAACTTGAATAGTTATTTATTATACAAGGGAAAAAAGTAGTCCAGGTTGTGTTGTCTCCCAACGCCTAGCGGAGGGAGACAAAAAACCGTGAGCTAAAATATAATATTTTTCCCGTGTATAATACACTATTTTTTCTGGAACAGGAGAAAGGACGAATCAATATTGAGAATATATTACATTATTTTGAAATCTGAAAATTATCGTGAAATTTTAAGTTTTTAACAGTAGGGAGACCTGCGTTGTAGGCATCTTTATCATTCTTTTGAAGTAATCAAATATCTGATGTCCCTTCTGTCAGTCTAATTCTGTGATTTGATTTCAAAAAAATTGCGAATTTAGTGGTTGTTTAGTAATATACGTAACCGCGAAGTCGAATGAAAGATAAAAGGACTTGCAGTTCTTTCTCGGAACTATAGCACAACAGAAGCCATCAACAGTGTATAGATATGTGATATATATCCGGGAAAAAAGTAATTTATGAAAAGTGACATTTTATAACCTGCCAATAGAGATGAAATGCCGAACTTTTTTCCCGTCACAGAAAAAAAAATTTATTCGTCTGAAGTTTGTCATGTCATCCATATAGAGATCATATATCATATCAATTATTTTAATCATTCATTCACTCGAACAAGGATCAGCTAAAACTGAGAATTACTAGAATAATTATTATACCTATACCTACTACATTTTAAATGTAATGTAATACATTATGGTTCATTTTTTAATGTTCCCTGTTATAAACATACACGTCAATTATTTCTTGGGAATAATGAAGATGATGATGATGAACCCAGTTATTTACTAGATTCAAAGCGGTGCTCTACTGTGCATCACTCATGATAAAAAATTGACGAGTCTGCAGATTTCAGATGAATAAAATATCTCAAAAAACTTTACGGCAATAGAAAAAACAACAAAGAACATCTGGAGTATGAGATATGGAAGTGATCGAAAAATAAGATGAATTTTAACATTTACCATTTTATACGACCTCTCTTATTTTTTGATCCATTATACACTTTCGGGCAACAAAACGGCCAGAAAGAGATTTTGCCCTGTAGCTTTTTCAACTCCTGTCTAATTTTGATGAAATCTGGACCGTCCGTATTTCAGTTTCCAATCAAAAATGACGGCTTGATCGTTATACAGAAGAAAACAAAAGTTACTTTTTAACCCTAAACTTTTTGACGCCATGTGGCAGAAGTAAGATATTAAACTTAGCTTCATTATGATTTGGATTGAAGTGTGATCCTGTCTCAGTACAATGGTCCTTGATTCATGTCACGATCTTCTTTTCGAGAGAAGATACAATTGGTTTGAGAAAGTGTGGATTTTTCCAATTTTTATGAACAATAATGCAAAACCTATATGACCATATCAAGTAACAACTTATAAAGCATCTAAAAATCATTATCACTTATTTCCATCCCGTTTTCTTACCACCCACCAGCAAAAAAAACCTCAATTACAAAAAACAATTATACAGCAGACCTAGATGTAGTCACTGCCACTGTGGCATTAAGTTGATCAAATTTTGAGGATTTATTTCCAATTCTTCTCAAAGGACGAATTGTAGCTATTAAAGAAAGAATATATGGCAACGCCGGTCAAAGACGAATGCGCCTCTGAAGTTCATCCCAGAAATTCTCTATAGGTTCGGAATTACTGTTGATAAAAATAAAAAAATCAATTCTCCCTTCAAAACACATATCTTCTCTCAAAAAGAAGATATTAACGTGATTCAAAAACCATAGTGTTGAAAAGTGATCACACTTCAATCCAAAACAAAATGAAACTTAGTTTATTCACTGATTTTTGCCACAATGCGTTGAGAAATTGAGGGTGTAAGAGTCCCAGTATAATGGTCAAGCCATCCGCAACACTCCAAAACATAAACCTACGCTTTGGTCGAAATTTCACCAGAATCGAACAAGAGTTGAAGAAGTGACATAGCGATCTATAATTTCGCAAATTATTTTTTTGCCGTTTTTCTTTTCGGTGAGTGTATGAGAAGGAATTTAGTTCAAAATCAACAACTCCCTGCTAGAATCGCCCTGTACCTCCGCCAATTTCTAACAAGAGTCTTCACGAACAAAACGACAATCTAACCTAACTCGGACTAAATGAAGCTTCTTTCTAGAAAGTATACATATACAGGGTCAGTCATAACTATTGGAATATAGGCTAAGGGTAGACAGTTTGGACTAAAATATGGCGATAGGACTAAATTTGCCTAGATAAAATATTGCAGTGGAAAAAGATACAGGGCGTTGAAGTTGATTTTTATTTTTCGTTCTTTGCTAATAATTTCACTGTATATTCATCAATTGTTATCAAAATTGGCACAGGGGCATAATTTTATACAGGGAATAATATTTTATGTATTATTCTACATTGAGTTACAGGGGGCGCCACGTGAATGATTCCTGGTGATAAAAACGACTGGTAACCTTTTTTGACGAAACTTTTCAGTGATTTCGATTGAAAAATATGAAATAAACATCTTTTTTACGTAATATTAGTACTAGTACTGTAACAACTGATTTCACCCATAAGACGCCCAGTGCGCACGAGTTTTTCCAATGGTATCCGCTATAAAACGTGAAGACTCAACACTTCCCATGTCTGCAGGTGCCTTCTATCTGGACAAGGACGACGACGTCTTCAAACGCGACTTCGCGCAAGCCACTCTCGAGGACCACTTCGACAAGACTATCCTGCCGAAGGTGATGCAGGTGAAGAACTTCGGCCGCTCGGGGCGCACCAAATACACGCACCTGGTCGACCAGGACACCACGCAGTTCGACTCGCCGTGGTCCACGGAGAACACGCAGAACATCAAGTTCCATTCGCAGCAGGCCGGTGGCGTGAAGCCGGTGTTCGAGAAGCCCTCGCTCAAGAAGAGGAAAATGCAATAGAATCCTTTCGAAAGATACCTACCAGATATGTCTTTCCAGTTAAGTTCACCCAAATCACAATAAATAAAAATAAAAAGTATTCGCCAAACAGGGATGAATGAATGAAATCGCGACTGGTGGGGATAACTCTGCGGAATCATTACTAGAAGACTGTTATTTTTCATTGATACATTTTATATATCTCATAAATCGGGAAAGTTCCAATCAAAGCAGGTCGGCGGCGTGAGGCTGGTCTTTGAGAAGCCCTCGCTCAAGAAGAGGAAAATGCAGTAGAATCCTTTCAAAAGATACCTACCAGATATGTATTTCCTGTAAAGTTTACCCAAAATCACAATAAAATGCTAGAAGAGTCAGTACTCTCAGTTCTCACCCATTATCTGCACTTAAATAACTAATACACGCCGTGATTCATTCATGAATCATCAAAAAGTATTCGGCAAGGATCTTAAACGCCAAACACGGATGAATGAATAAAATCGCGAATTGTGGGGATAACTCAGCGGAATCATTACCAGAAAATTGATATTTTAGGGGGTAACAGGATCATGGTACACCAAACCATTTTGATGAACTTAAATTGGTGATGAATGAAGAACTTTCACATTTTTGACAGGATTCAATTTTTTTTAGCAATACACCTGTTACATCAGACTCGATCAGAATTTATTTTTGAACTAGTAAAGTCTCTTTTTAAAAACAATTTATTTGTCAAAGTACAAAAGCAGAGCGAATTTTATGAGATGTTTATCGTACAAAGTTATAAGTCTGACTGAATGTTGGAATGAACAAATGCAACAAGATGATTTTGAAGGGTCAGCGAAATCTAAGAGGTCCCTGGGAACGGCGGTGCAGAATCTTCAGTTCTTAGGAAGCTTATGGGAACCGGTGATATAATTCCTCCCCTCGAAGTTTCAACTTATGCAGTGGAGCGAGGAAGTTGAACCTCTGTCAAATTTATCCCTTGGTTTTGGTCGTTGGAGTTCTTGATTCGTCAGATTTTTGATGATGAAATATGTAATACCAGATGCTACGAGGATATACAGGATGATGGTCCAAATAGAGGGAAGATGAGAGATGTTGGTATTCTGTAGGTCTGGCTGGTTTTCGATTATTTTCTTCGTTATAAGGTGAAGATCGTCCAAATTTGTTTCTTCTAGGTGGATGGTCCAATTTTGTTTCCTCTCGAGGCTTTGATTCAGTTGTGGAAAGAGAATCAATTGACGTTGACTCATTGATTCCTCTTCATTGGCGATTTGTTCGGTGTTGGTTATAACTTGACATCCAACAGGAATTTCTACGAGGTATGAACCAAGTAATCGTAGGAATTCTTCTTGTTTTCGGCACTTCAGACTGACCATCTCTTCATGTGGAAATACGGCTATCCATTGTTTGGATTCCAGTTGTCTAATGATAGGCTTTGAAATTCTGACCGGGACTTGTTGACAGTTTGAAGGGTGTTTCTTATCGAGAAGTTGGATTTCGCATGGGCCATCTGGTTCGACTGTTGACAAGTCGATTTTCTTGCACATGAAGTAGTTAGGTACGATTTTGGTACAAAGATCACCAAAAAATGCGAAGTACAGATCACTCTTCAAGAGAAATCTATCGTTTGGTAAAATGGTCTTGAACTCATTCAGACTCGGTACAGGTATTGAATATAATTGATAATAATTGAATTTTTCTGAATATTTTATAGGTAAATGTAGAAGGTATGTAATTTTGTTATTTTTTATGTAGCATTCGATATCTATTATTTTTTCTATCAACAAAATATTGTCTGGAGTAATTTCGAACGGAAATTGATCTTTATTGATCGAGTTTTTGAGTTTTGAAAGCTCGTTGTAGAGATCTGAGATTCTTATAATGCTGGGGTGCATAGTGTTTAATTTGGAAAAAGTCATTGAATTCTCAATGTCTTGCAAAAGGGAGTTGATTACTTCGTATACATTTATCATATGGTTCAAAAGGTCATTGACTACCAAAGTGTGACTCAGGTTTTGACTAAGTCCTATGTATAAGGCAATTTGATAAATTTTAGATTCTAATTCCTTTTCGTTGTGGGTGATTTTTCGAATTGTGTCGTTGAATTTGTGTATAATATCGGTAGAAATAGTGTTTTGTTTGACAATGTTGCTTGCTATAATCTGTTTTGATTTCCTTGAATATCTTTTATCATCTGTTCATAACGTTCGCCGTCGCTAGCGTCTAAATTCCCAGAAACTGCTTTGAAAAATGATCCAAGGCCGTTTATTAATCCTCTCTTGTTGCGTTTTGGCTGTGGAATTATTTCTTGTAATCTAATCTCGGCTCTCTCTTTCGTGAGAGTTAGAATTCTCAAATGCTCTGAAGCATCGTTTGAATAATTTTGATTGACACTGAGACTCTCCAGCAATTTTCCATATTGTTTATCGAGTTTTTCTATTTCGTCTACTATGGGGTTCAAGTCGAAAAAATGTATGAAGGTATGCATGTACTCTTGCACTTTGGCTGTTCCTAACTTAACAGGTAAAAGTCCAGGGTTGGTTTCCAAGTTTTTTATTTGGATCGTTTCCTGGTATCCCATCACGAGTGGGAATCTGAAATATTATTAATAACTACTTAATCAAAACTATATGTATTTCTTATGGGACGTTTCAAATTATCCATATGGGCTTTAGCTTGGGACGTGGTCGCGACTGTTTTACGGTTGATATCTACTTTCTGAATTTGGGTAGGTTTATGAAATTTATTTGCGTCTTTCTGTCTGATGAACTTTTTCAAATATGTTTTATCAGCTTGTTTGAATAAATTTGGGTTATCACGGGTTTCGTTTAATTTTGAGATTATTTTTTCTTTATTATCCCTGAGGCTTTGATTGATTAGTGAATACATGATTTTTGTTTTTTCTTTATGATTATTTTCGTAGTCATTAACTAAAATGCGGTCGATATTTATATCAAAAGGGTTTTTATTACTGATATGACCGTTTACGACGTCTATGGGTTTGAATTTAGTAGCCGAATGTATTGAGTGATTATAAGCCAAAATTGCGTATGTCATTTTCAAATTTATAGGAGATTTATCAAATCCTTGTGTATTCAACAACCTTATATGTTCAATTAACGTGGAATGTAGTCTCTCTATAACACCGTTAGACTGAGGGTGATTTGGTGAGCAAAAATGAAGTTTTATTTTATGGAGGGCCAAGAGCTCGGTTATTACGGTATTTTTAAATTCTGTCCCATTGTCTACAGTTATTTGTTTTGGTACACCGTGGTGTGAAAAGAAGGTAATGAGGTTATTGGTTATTTCAGTTGAACTCAAAGTTTGTAATTTATAGGCTTGGGCGTATTTTGAAAAAGTGTCTATGATTGTTAAAAATTTGGTTTTCTCTAAAGTAAAGGTATCTAAGTGGATTATTTCGAACGGTTCAGAAGCTGTTGGAGTAATATTCATTTGCATTTTGATTGGTTTCCTCTCGTATTTGCTTTCTTGGCAAATCTCACAATCATTAATGTATGTTTGAATTGATTTTTTAAGATCTGGCCAGTAATATTTAGTTTTTATTCGATTTTCCGTTTCGTCTATGCCACGATGGTTCGTTTTACTCTCGTGGTAGTTTTTAATTATTTCTAAAACATCGTCCTTATTGGTGACATCTATTAATTTATTATTACAGCGTTTTAACTTTAGTGAAGGCCACATAAAATTTCGTCTGACAACTTCCGAGAATTTTTCATACATATTTGGTTCGTTAAAATACAGGTGGTACTGAACTTTTGGCACAACATAATTTTTCATGAAATTAACGACATCCTGTTCGAATTGATTTTCTGAAATTTGAACTTCAATCCTTTGTTTTTTCTCGAACAAAATGGTACGTTTTACCTTGGCTGGTGAATGTAATACAGAAAAGAATATTATTTGATTTTGACCATGGTTGACAGGGGATTCGGAAATAGGAATATCAACTATAGGATTTTGTTCGGAGTTTGTATGAACAGTGACGTCATCGTCATGGTTTTCTCCTAATATATTTTCGCTTATTTCTTCATCTGGTTGAACTTGCATGGATATATTATCGATTTCAGGGTTAGGATTTAGGTTATTATTAGAGGGTTCGCCGAAAATTTCATTCAAGCCTGGATCTGGAAGATTTTGTGCTTGCGTACTGATTAGGTTCTCGATTATATTACCAACATTCTCGGTTTCTTTTGTATGAATTTCAATCCTAGATAGAGCGTCTGCGTTAGAGTTCAGTTTGCCTTTCTTATAAGTAATACTATAATCAAATTCATCTAGTTTAATGCGCCATCTTAATAGTTTCGAATTAGGATCCTTTAGAGAAAAAAGCCACTGGAGTGGTTTGTGATCAGTGATGATATTAAAATGTCTTCCGTACAGGTACGGCCTGAAGTATTTGGTCGCCCATACGATAGCTAACAGTTCTTTTTCTATCGTACTGTAATTTCGTTCAGAGTCGTTCAGGGTACGTGAGGCGTACGCCACTGGCTTATCGACTCCTGAATGTTCTTGAGAGAGAACTGCGCCTAGCGCGACATTACTAGCATCGGTGGTTAAGTTAAATTTTTTGGAAAAATCTGGGTATTGCAAGATTGGTTCATTTATTAGTAGATTTTTGCAAGTTTCGAAACATTCGGTGAATTTCGAATCATGTACGATTTGTGCACCTTTTTTAAGGCACTTCGTCAATGGTTTTGTGAGCTTCGCGAAGTTATTTATGAATCTTCGATAGTATCCTAGAAGACCCAAAAATCCTTTGATTTGTTTTGTCGTCTTGGGAATAGGGAAGTTCTTTATTGCAATTATCTTGCTGGGGTTAGGTTTAACACCATCCGGGGTGACAACATGGCCAAGATACGCCACTTCTTTCTTAGAAACTCGGACTTATCTAACTGTATTTTAAAATTAGAATCTCTCAATCTCTGAAACACGGTTTTTAAACGTTCGATATGCTCCTGTAATGACGTCGAAAATATTATTATGTCGTCAAGGTAGAC